TATATATATATATATATATATATATATATATATATATGTATATATATTAAGGGATCATTTAATAATTATATCGTACTACAAGGGGGGAGAGTCTATTAACTTGTGTAACGGTAGAGAGGGAAGGGTAGTAAAGGCCATGGAATATCACACGCGCGTATTTTGTATCTACATTTTTATATCTAAAAATATTATATTCTATAAAAATAATTCAATTTTGTGTTAACAAATAAAATTTTAATTTTAAAATATTTTTCTAAATATGAATTTTATTCATTAAAAATTTTAAATAAAATAACTTGATATTATGCCTAGAAATTATTTGTATTTTAGGAAAAGACAATATATAACGTGTATTCTAATAATTATTACTTATAATAAGACTATAAGTTATTTTTTTCTTACTTTCTTCTTCTCACTTTCCTTATTTTTTCTTCTTATTTTCACATAATTGGAAGGCCTCCAAAATTTGGTGACAAAGGGGAAGGGAATGAGGAAATATTAAAATTTCGCATGATATAATTATCGAATAGCTTTTTAAAAGCGTTATAATTCAGGCTTTATGCTGAGGTGTCATAATAAATTTGATTAGAGACAACAGTTTGAAAAATAAAATATGTATGAAAATGTATGCTGTTATTTCTTTATTCAAATATAACTAATTAACATATTATATTTTTATAAAACAATAATAAATGAAAGAACATAAATATGCACTTCATGCATGACAATTATTCTTACAACTTTTATGCAAGAAACTTGGCAGACAAAAACTCAAATTGAATCAGTATTGTTGAAAAAAGTTAAGTAAATGTGAGTAATATTTAATTAAAATTAAAATTAATCATTTCATAACATATTTATTAAAAATAAAAAGTAAAATAAAAGTAGATTAATATTAATAGATTTCAGCCTGATTGTATGAAATTTTCTATCTAAACACCATTTTTAAAAACCAAATTAAAGTTAATTTGGTTTAATTTGGTTTAATTTTGATCTTATCATAGTAAATTTTACTTAAGTCTCTTTAAGTCCCTACTGAAACTATTTCAGAAATTTGCTAACTTGCCGCCAACTATTAGTAGTACTAGGCTCGTTTGGGGCATCTACGTTAGCATCAATTCATGACCTATTCAGGAAATTCTATTCAGAATTTGCCTATCTTAATCATATCTGGGTGTATGAAGGCAAGCCTATTTTGGAGCATCCCTAGTCAAAGCTACCATATACTTAGGGATCGCCCCGATTAATTTCTTCCCGGGTTTGCAGGCGCATCGTCGTTGATCGAGCGCCGACATCGGTTGAACGATTTGCCATTTCTCGTTAATAAACGGGCTAACAAATAATGGATAATGGATGATGTTCTCTTCCGAAAATGCGAAGTGAATCTCGAAAGGATATATAAAATTCCATGAATTTGAAAATCGCCGCGCCACAACGTAAAACGCAATCGGCGCGCCGGTGGGGATACCGAGGAACGTGAAATAATTGAAATTTTCGCAAATATTATTCTCGCAAGATAATTGTGCGCTCTATTCCCCCGCTTACTCGTCGCTTTTTAGACGATATAATATTCAGACCTCGCGGCGGAGCGCGCGATTAAGTAGGCAAAATGTTATTCGTGCAACACGAGTTAAACGAGCGAGGTAGTGCGCGAACGACGGTGCGGCAGCGGGCAGGAAGAAGATTGTTCGCTGTGAATTCATAATTGTAATCAAATCAAATTTCGCTTGGTCGACTTCTACTCGACGAAACTTTGGGACGAGTGATTTTCGCGTCTTGTGCGCGAGGACGCTGCGCGACTGCTGCAAACGCGAAAGCCGATTATTTACTTCAGCGAACGGATTCATTACTTTGCTTTTGAAGTAACGGCGCGGCGGGCCGCTACAATGGCGGTTACAAATGCGGGATAGACTTTCATTATAATAACGGACGGATGTAATAATAATACACACAGTAGCGCGCGCGACGCCACCGAAGGGGGAGGGCATTTAAATTACCATTGCACGTGGCATCACGTTACACAAGGACACGCCTCTGTCGTGATGTCTGCAGCATTTTTACCAACTGCGCCCATTACCGTTGCATTCCATTAATTTCTTTATTTTTTTGTTTTATTCGTCGTTAATAACTTAATGGGGAGCCTTGCATGCGCACGATAAACGCGCCGCAACCGAATTCCAAGTGCGACTTAACCGCGTGTATTACAATTATCCCATCGGGAATTATCTCATCGTTTAACTCCATTAAGTAGAATTAATGAGAACGCTCCTATATGCGCCAGTCAGTGTCTTACTGCGTGGTATAATTTGCGGTGGTTGTAGGTAAACGTGTACCTGCACGGATTGTAAACGCAATTAGTTGTTTACCGCTCCGAAAGTGAACCAAGGACGCTCTAATACGGTCCGTTTGTGTCTCTCTGTTCCTCGCCGCTCGATGCTTTGTTCCCGGGGACGTGTTTTAAAGCGTATTCGCTCTTCGCGCCTTCTTCGCTCGATCGATCGATCTCCAGCCGGTAGCCGGACTCGATCGGGAAAACTCTCAACGGTTGAAATAAAGCGATTCCGTTCGCTACTTGTTTCCGAAAGGACGACGAGTAAATGGACTAACTTTTGCCTAAAAAGTGGTAACGTAAGTTATAGAAGTGATGTTCTTTTTTGAGTCATCGGATACGATAGTAACATTTTTATCTGTCTCTAAATCCGTAGTCAAAATTCATCTAAAAAGGAGATCGAAACAAGTCACTCTTAATAGCAATTCGGCTAGTGACGATTTTGTTCTAATTATTTAATTACTTGTATTATAGTTTACGTTTTATATCTTTTTTTCACTGAAGACTGAAAAAACGTTTCCCGAAAAAAAGTGAAACACTCAAAAACTACTAAATCTATAATAACATGACGAAATCCATATAATATAAAAATAAAAAAAAATAATAAATTTTTTTATTCAAAGAATCTTATATATATAACCCTAGAATTCTAAACATCAAAAAGTTACGGAAATACTAAACATGGATAAATTTTCTCTCTCTCTCTAGCGCGTTCTCAACTACTCACATCTTCCATAAAAATTATCAAAATTCAATTTTTAAAGATTTGAGTTTTATCAGGTGTGCACCTACACATATTATGCAGTTTTAAGAAAATGGCTAATAGTGGACTGCCACATCACTCCAGAAGTTCTCTATTAAAGAATTTCTCATAAGGAAATTTAGCATTTCTAAAATGTTTCAAGTGTTTTTAGCATTTCTAAAATGTTTCAAGTGTTTTTAGTGAGAAAAAAAGTTATAAAACTAAGACTACAACACACAAGTAATTAAATAAGGGAGACGAAATCGTCGCTACAACCGAATTACTATTACTATTTCGAGTCATTTCGACGGTCATTTTACTCATCGGTCTGATTTACCCGTCGTTCTTTATTTAATCTCCACGTCGACTTAAGTCGGATGAAAAACGCGCGAGAGATAGGAACGTTATATAACTTCATCTGTACGCTAAGCCCCCTGATAATTCCGGCTTTTACACGCGACTGCTAGAAAATCGATAAATTAGCGGTTAAACGATGAGCAGAAATTGCAGCCGGCACGAATGGAGATAGTTGGAGCGTCTGTGTATCGGACGTGCATACACGTTACACTCGAATCTTCCAGATCAATTGAAGTCAGAGAGTGCACGTCGGAATTCTCACGGTCCATCGGCTTCACGTAGAACATCGCGGAAGGAAGACAGTTACGACTGTCCAGTCACCCGCTCGATTCCGCCCGACTATCTGCTTATTCGTTTATCGACAAGACGCATTGGTTGGCTCTGTCTAGCTTCAGCTAGCAACGAGCACACGGTCGCCGCGAGAGTTTAAGCTTCGTGTCCGTTCAAATATTTGTACGAAACGCAAAGAGAGATCGGCGTGTCCTTTGTCCTTTGTCTCGCTTTTGGACGCATTAATGCAACAGGTCCCAACATTTATTTTCCCAGATAAGTGTTGAATTAAGGGACCGTAGGTGCGCTTTTAATTCTCTGCAACACAAAAGAGCAGAGGAGGACCTGCGGTACTTCCTCGATCCTACAAGACACGGTAAACCGGGCGCCGCAACCGGGACTTAACCACCTGTACATACGCGGAGGCCGGCATTAACCGCGCCAGCCCGGTGTGCGCCGTGTATTCGTGTGAAAATGAAGCGTTTTTCCGCCGCTTAGTGCACTCTCGCGAATAATTCCCGCAAGGACAGTACCAAGAGAGCGCCATGCCTCGGACCGGCTCGGCCCGAATTTTTCCTCTCCTTGAACGTGCTTAGGGTTCTGTTCGCGTGACCGAGAATTCGCCGCGTTTTTCTCTTCGTGAAAGATCACTGCTGTGAGAGGAAACACGACAACGTGGCTCTCATCGTAGATGAGATATCTCGCCGTGGCCGTTAGAGTATCGAGAGATACGTGCGCCAAAGTGTATCTTGTCCATGTGTATTCGAGCAGAAAATATTTCCGGGGAAAGTTGATTGCAGAAACTGGCCAGTTTTTATTGGTGGTGTTGCTAAAAATATATTTTTTGGATCAAAAGCTAGCTAAAAGCTGCTCAGGTCAAATAGACTAGTAACTGATAGATAGATAGATTATTATCAAAATTCGCAACATCCTACTTTTTACCCCTTGACAAGAAATTAGTCAAAATTACCAATCAGAACAAATTAATCAGTAAATAATAACTAATTTATGTCTACTTAAAACTGACAATATTCTGACTAGTACTGTTTAGACATTCACTGCGATGTTCGGACAGTGTGAAGTTTAATGCTATAATTCTTGATTTTATTAGCATTTTTTAAATGAATGACTATCATAGTAAACATCAAAACAGGGAAATGAAAAAGGAAATATAAATACATAAAAGGAGCTAAACAAAATATATGTATTTTTTTTAAATAGATGCATGTATGCATAACTACTTAATGTTCTTCGCAGTTAGTCGTGCATAAAATATATATATTTTAAGACACGCAACGCTAAATGTCTCAATCATTTTTCGGTATTTTTCAGTAGCTATTCTTTAACGAACTTTGGTAGTTAACTGCAAATTTGTCGAATTTCTATAAAGAATAATTCTACTGAATAGAGTTGGAAACGACCGACACGTTTAGCGTTGTGTTAGCAATGTAAAGGAAAATAAGAATGGAAAATAATTAAAAATTGACAGAAAACTGGTTATAAATTGATAACAATTATTTAGAAACTGCATAGGAAAGAAAATTTAACTGCACAGTGGCAGGAATCCGTATGTGGTTGCTTTTGGTTACAGCAAATGAATACCTAAGGATATATAGCTGCCAGTAGTTATGAATTTATCTGTGAAACCGCGGCGATGTGGTAGCGATAACGGCAAAAGTTTTAGTTACAGCAGCAAATTTTTAGTTACGAATATATTTTCAGCAAACCATGATTAGCTGCAGCAATGAAATCTTTTTTCCGTGCGACTAGTTTCACTATCTAGCTACTATCGAAACAAGCGTCGATCAAACTGAATGGGACCTGGTCGTGAAAAAGGAGAGTAATGAAAATTTCTGACTAGTTACCGACTATTTACTGGCTTACTTTCCGCTCGGGAATGTATTTTACAGAATATATTCTCGCGATATTTCATATTCATTGATCCAAGCGATGGGATTCGCGAGCGAGCGGGGGAGAGAGAGAGAGAGAGAGAGAGAGAGAGAGAGAGAGAGAGAGAGAGAGAGAGAGAACAACGCGCGAATGGTATTAATTCCACAAACGAGCGGGCGCGCTAAGTAGCTTTATCGTTATGAGCTTTTGAGTCAATCGACCGTTCTCGTCTTATGATCCTCGTATCGCGCCAGAAAAGAGGGATCACGAGTTGTTTCTGTTGACGGAGTGTTACGTCGCAAGCCTCTCGTTGCGAGAGTTAACATCGACGGCGTCGTAACGCGATTGAAACAGTTGTTTCATGCTTTTCGAGATGGTTTAACAACGCTCCCGCGGGTTTCGGTCGTTAAAAGCAACGCTGGAGATGAAAGTGGTAGGAGTCGAGTAACATGAAAGGCTTTCCCTTGACCGATGGCTTGAATGCGGCGGTGGATGCAGATGTACAGCCACGCGCAAGGGTATGCGAGTTATGCGAGCCCCGCTTCGAGAGCAAAACGGATTTCTCGTGGCATTACCATAAGATATTGGATTCGTGAGCCGACATATTTATTTTGCGTTTTCGCGACCCTGCGCGATTGAGTCACCGGGGACCCGAAACCAACGTCACGTTGGCTTATAAGCCTAATGGCAGGAGGGGAAAAAACAGAAGAAAAACGAAAAAAACATGGACAACCAAATGTCGAGCTCCACCGGATTGCACACGTTCGTATGCGTTGAAACTGCGAAATTGCTTTCGCAAAGTTTACACCGTGCATTTCGCTGCGCGTAGCTCAAAGCTAAGTTACTAACACCGGTGAAAATATTAATTACGTAATCGTGGCTTTCGGCATGAGCAAAAGCTCATAACGAGACAAAAGCGTGCCGTTGTGTTTCGCGTCGATATACGCAGTCAATGTGTGTGTGTATATACATATATATACATACATACATACACAGACATATACATACACATATATATTTATATACACATATGTATATGTGGCGCGCGATAATGCAGCCGATACGGCTGCAACGCGACAGTTTAATTGCGTTTTCTACGGTCTCGTAGGTGCGACGATGGTAAATGGAAGCGTATACGTTACAACGGAAAGAGGCACTTTTGGTATATGTATACCTCGAGCCGGAGCGTGGGATGGGGCGCGGAATAGCGACGAACGCTCCGTCCTCGACGAAGCTGACTTCCGTGTTCCTCGTGGCGTCGAATTCCGGTGAGCAGCCCCACGTTACGGCTGTTGCCTCCGACTGGCCCCTCCTCGACCTGGCGTATTCTATAACTTTGGCGCCGTTGTAGATTATGTCAGCCATGCATCCTCTCAAGTAATCCGTGTGCCCTGCGAATCAGACGCAGTCCGCGGGATTAGTCACCCCGTTCGTGTCACGTCGATACGCGTAATGAGCGCGAAATCCCCATGCGAAAGGGTCGCCGCGCGACGGTGACAATGCGATGCCGGCGCATCGCAAACGAGTCCGCGAAATACATTCGCGTTTTACGGATGTACCTCGCACAGGTGCAGGTGTCCGTGAAACATTACATTACGTTAATGAGGTCGTTATCGATTCACGCCGTTGGAAACGCCACGTGGAAATATAATCAGGAACGATCGCATAGCAGCGGGACCTCCGAATGTTTCGGACTTCCCGCAGCGTCCGTTGTTGTTCCTTCTCGTTTCCCTGGTTAGATAGGCCCTTGAGGAAACGAGTCCGTTCAATTTCCTCATGCGCACGGAGAAGTAAGTTTGTATTAACACGAAGCTAGCTTGTGATAAGTAAGCACCGACGCCACAGACTTGTAGAATAAATTGCGCGCTCTTACGGGATGCCTGATGACAAGACCGAAGGACAGATGTATGCCAGGTCAAGTGCTTTCTTTGTCTAGGAGGAGGCGATGAAAGAGAAACAAAAGAGAGAGGGTGAAACGTAGTGAAAGGAAGAGAGGACGCATTGATCGCTTTTCCTTCTTCGTTTTCCCTATTACATAATTAGACAAGGAAAGCATTTTACTCTCTCTATTTTGCTTTCTCTAGATGCTGACTTCATCCCTTCTACAGCAATACGTAGTCTATTCTATGTATATTTATCTACGGCCAAGGCAGATCATACAAAAGTATAACAAAGTTGTAAAGATGCTAGTTGAATTTTTCTCATTTTAATAATTGATTCGAACAAGTATGTATCTCAATTTAACTAATTGACGATTAATTCAACGAGCAAGTTCAATCGGAGAATGTTTAATTGACGATCAATTTCAACTAATTCAATTAAAGGTCATTTAATTGACGATTGGTATCGATTGAATTTGCTCATATTAATCGTTAATTGAACGACTTCTAATTAAATTTACCAAGTTCAGTCGCCGATCAAACGGCTAGTAATTAAATTCGTTAATTTCGATTGTTAATTAAACGACTATTTTATTCCCTTCACTCATATCAATCGTCAATTAAACGATCTTCAATTAACTTCGTTGAAATCAATCATTAATCGAACCGTCCTCGATTGAACTTGTTGAAATCAGTCGTTAATTAAACGATCTCCATACATAATTGAATTAATCATCACATTAATCATCAATTAATCGTGATAATAAAAGAAAAATAATTACTCGCAACCTTGAAATTTAATTTTATATTAAATTCTAATTGTAACATGAACAAACCGCTTTGGCCGAAGGCGACGGAATTTCGGGTTCGCGGAACCAAATTTGATTCATGGGAACGAGAAATTCAGTGTCCTTCGACCACAACGCGTTGGCTCGCTCATTAAAACACCCAAGTTTCACGTTGATACAAGCGACTTCTTTTCTTGTGCAGTTCTACTTAACCGCGCGACTGTCGAAAACACCATTTCCCTGCGATCCAATTTCGCAAAACTTTATACTTCCGACGAGGTAACGCTGTCACACGCTGATGCGTGTAACATATACATATCGTAATATGTGTACACGCGAGATATACTCGATATTTACGAGCGACGCGACGGATTCGGCGAAACTGGCGGTTTCGCGCCACGGGCGGGCTCGCATAGCATCGGGGGTTGATTGTCTCCGCGAGAGACAAGAGCACTGCGCGGTGGCGGGTTTGGTGGATTACCTCCCGAGCTGCCGCACGCCGATAGATGTAAGACGACGGGGTTGCGCCTCGCGCACGACAAGCCGGCGAGATGTGTGTGCGTAAGCGGTCCGAGATGGGCGTTTACTGGCACGCCGCGGAATCGCGGAGACAGTTTCCGACGGAATGCCGTGGCGGCATTAAACCAGCCAGCCAACCAGCTTCTGTTTACAACATAGTTGCGGCGCACCGTTCGTGGCTTCTCGCAACAACGCTATCACCCTTAGCTTTTTACATAATGTAAAGTTTCATCAATTGTAAGACGTTTTGGCGCACGGCCAGTCTCGCACGGGATGTACAAGACTCTACAACTGTTTACGCGTGTCTAAACGCTGCTCGATGTTTCGCCCCGGCGCGAATGCACCGCCACGTTTGCGGGAGATAGATTCGCTCGAATAGCGGAGCAGATATCTTGGCGGCTACGCGAATTAGCCGCGTCGGTTTTGGCGAGCGTTTGGCAAATCGCACTGTCGCACGACAAATGAACGTCGTTTTTCCCTTGAGCGGTACTTTGGCGTCTATCTTTGCGTAGTTGAAGAATGCTACGTGAGAGAGAGAGAGAGAGAGAGAGAGCCTGGTTGAATCGACGCGCGATTACCAACGATTGATCGCGCTAAATTCATCGCTTCATTCGGCACACCTGAGAGTATCAATTAATTGAAATTTCGTAGAACGAAACGGAGCGAAACACCCAATTATTAACACGTTTCCCTTATAATTAACACTTTAGAAAAAACATATTTTTTCTTGCCATTCAACACTGCCACAATGGCGATTGTTCACAATTTTTGCCGTAAAGTTTTTTGTTGGCTGCACTCATTGGGTGCAGGCAAGAAAATCAACTTGCAATATTGCACGGAAAAAAGAAAAGAACATGGTTGAATTAACGTGATATATTTGATTAAACAAATTTTGATGAAGATAAACAGTGTTTCTGGTTATTATGAGATATTCTGATATGTAATCAGAACATTTAGGTGTAATATCGGTCAGGGTTTGGTTAAGCAGTAATATCCAAGTGTCTGGTTATCATGACTATGCGGGAAAAGGAGCATGGTTGGAATAACGCGATATGTTTGTTTAAACGAATGTTGGTAATACTAAACAGAATTTATGATTATTAGAATTAAATATTCCAGAACATTTAAATACAATATCGATCATAGATTGATATTACTACCTATCCAATCTATCTCACGTGTGTCTTTAAAGCCTGTATTAATAGTTGTCATATCAAACTCGCCTCATATAAAATACTCGGATTTTTATTCAGAGTCAGATCCAAGTTTTCCAATTAAATTATGATATGTTTGAGAATTATATATATATATATATATATATATATATATATATTTATAATTAACTAAGAAAGTCTCATCTAACTCTGAAATTTGAATATCTCACTTGGTAGTTTCAAGTAATATCTATTAATAAGAACCTAATTAAACTTCAAGAGTCCTCAAAAACATTTACTAATTAATATATTAATAATATATTAAATTTTGAAGTAATTTTGAATTAATATTATAAAATAATTATAAAATACTATAATTATAAATTATAATATTTTATAATTATTTTATAATAATCGGCACAATTTTAATTTTTGTTTTAGGTTTACAGCGGAGAGAGCAATCGGCCTTGAGTTTCTGCTATTTCGGTGAGTTAGGAAAATGAATACGAAAGATACAAGGTAATTAATTTGTCGGTGATGTGTGTATAGTAAAAAAAAGATCGTTTCAAAATCGTGTAATCATAAGTTACTTTGTAAATCCAGGATATCTTGAAGAAAGGTATGTTTAATCGAAAAATGATATATAGAGCGCAATAACGATAACACAAATAATTCTCACGATGCGACGCCATCGGAGTTCTTGATATTTGCGAAATGACGACAAGGAGGAACCTCCTTCCGGATAGATATTAGGATTTCGGTATTGGCACGTCGGAACATATATAGTTTTATTGATTTTTCGTGGAGTGAAATCAAATATATACGTTGCTCGGCGAGAATATTCTCTATATTTTCACGAAGCCGGGGGAATGCCGGTCGATAAGCGAAATCCACGACGGGAATCTTGCGATCAACTCTGCAGGGGTGTACATTCGCATTGTATGCTCTTATATCTATATATACACGTACATAAGCTGCGGCTAATATGATACACATACACACACATACACACGCAATATACGCGTATATATACGTACTATACACGGTGTTCCGAAATCCGTATAGTATAGAAGCAGCGTCTTATTCGAAACTTGTGTTCAGTATTTACATCGAAAGTTAAGGATGTAAATTAAATTTTGAAATTGTGTTTACGTAATTAGATAGATTATCTCTCAATTAATCTCAAGTGTTGTACTTTAACAGAAATTTATCTTGACGTATTTCATCGTCGATACATTGGGAATTAAAATTGAGAGCTGCCCCGAGTCGAAGTTTTGCTTCTATAACCTCGCAAGCTTCATTGAATTTGGACTACACAGAGAAAATGATCTGGTTGAATCAAATAAACGCTTCTTTGGAATAGTCCAAACGAATTTTTCGATTGATCAAACAAAATTTTGTTTGAAGCAACAAAAATATTTATTTGCGGCTTAGTTCCAAAGCAATATTTTTGTTGTGTCAACCAAATAATTCGTTTGGACCATTCCAAAGAAACATTTATTTGAATTAATAAGTCGTTCTCTCTGTGTAGCGATGCGTTCGGAGATGTAAAATTGTACAGGCTATTGCCCTACGTTTGATGCTACAGATGATTATTTCCTATTTTGAGGATCATATTGAGAATTACATTCAAAGAATTACAAAGAAAGAATTTATTTCCGCGATTTTATTTAATATTTATTTATCTTCATATTTTCTATCTATAATATTTTCTATCTATGTAATTTTCTTATAATTTCAACAAGCAATAAATATATTAATCTCTTCGATAGTGATTCTTTAGTAATTTAAGGTGTCAAATAATTTACAACTATGAATGCCGAGCTTAAAATCTAAATATTGTAAGTGCTAATATTTATGTCTCACAATGTGTTTCTTTGGATTGCGAGTTTTGTTTACATCTACCAACGCCCTTTTTCCACTTCTATTTATGATTGTTATTGCGCGCTTAGAGAAAAAGACATGATGGAAACTATATAGGTAACTACGATTTTTGAATGTAGAATTAATGTATACAGTTTAGTAAATTCTATTTTGTAGTTATTGTGACTAAAGTTTTGCAATAACTACAAAATAGCTTATTAAATTCTGTACATCACAATTCTATACATAAAACTCGTACAATTGTCACCTGTATAGCTGCCATCATCATGTTTTCCTCTGAGTGTGTATCATATCTAAATTCAAATCTATATTGACACACAACATTATTGGGCACATAACTACTATCTTTATAATTCCTTTCTCTTCATTGAATTTCCTTTCTCTTTTTTGAATTTTCAAATGCTATCGAAATTTCCAACGTTTATGAAAATAATAATTATAAATAACTATTTATAACATCAAACTAAGATAATAGTCTGCACAATCTTACATCTCAACATTCTTCATTGATTCTTCAAGTTCGATAGATATTGCAGGGTTAACGTGGAAGCAAAAATTCCTTTGGGCGCGGTGCAAGAGATTGAACTTTCCGCGAAAAACTCGACTGTAAATTTCGCCAAAAATCCCACACGACTTCGCAACCGGTTGTCGCTTTTCCAGAGCGTTCTGTGTATAATCGTACACAAAGCCTTGCTGAAAATGAGTTTCGCAACCCTCCTAGTGTCGGGTCAGGCTCCATTCTCTTTCTTTATTTCTCGACTCGAGAATTTAGCGAGGCCCACGACGGAGAAATAATAAGACCTCCTCCGTAGTAAACGGCACACCGTGCCATGGGGTACAAATGAATTGTCATGAATATGTAAATTGAATTTCGAGCTGGTCGCCGAGTATTATGCGTGACGGTCGACGGGGTAACGATGGGGGCGCGTCCACAAGGCGAAGGAGAGAGAGGGCGGAAGAGTTGACAAAGACAGAGTGGGGGAGAGAGAGAGAGAGAGGGGGAGGAGGGTGGGCAAAGGGAGAGAACGATGCTGTTTGTGTGCCGATCGTATTCAATTTCGTCCCCGCGCCAATTCGAACGGAAGGGCTGAGTGAACTTTTTGTCTTCCGGCAGAAATGATTACCGGTCGCTGCGGCTGATGCGAGTCTGCATGAAAGAACCCGGTCGTTATCGAGCTGCGCTCGAAACGCGTGCAGGGCGCGAAGAGTGCGCGACCGCTCTCGGGAGCTCTTAACGAATAACTCTCACCGAGTCGCACGGGCCTAGACAGCACAAGATCTCCAGGGGATGTCCTGGGGACGTCCTCAGAACGTGTTTAGAAAAAATATCCTGTGGATATTTGGATATCCTGTGGATATCTGTGCTGTTTGAGGGAAATCGTAAGCATAAGTTGAGATTACGGTTGCTCGCGTTATACGTGAGCCGTTCGGAAAGCACGTGATCTAATATAGAAATAACGCAAATTTGGATAAATCTTTATTCGCGTATTTTAGAGTCATCCTTCGTTAGGTTAAGCATGACAGTATAGAATGATCTGTCAATTAGTCTTTATTTGACAGTGCGCCAAAGTGAACTCTACGAGTAATGGATCTTACGTTTGGTGACACTAGCAAAGACTGAACAATTTCACTGTTTCTCACACTGTTGTTCTTTTTGAAAAATGGTTCTTTCACTGTAATTTGAAAAACTTTTAGCATAAATTTACAATCATGTTGGTACAACATAGATCTACCACTTTACTTCAAAAACAAGGAAACAGTCGAAACAATAAACGCACGACGTGCGAGACGCTCGAGACGTGTCAAACAAAGATTGATCGACAGACCATTCTATACTATCATACTTAATCTAATAAAGAATGGCTTTGAAATAAAGATTTGGCCAAATTCACACGCTATCTTTGTATTAGACCATGTACTTTTTGAACTACCCACGTACGTGCGGATTACATCTCCAAGTCTTTGAATTTCTATTTTCCCTCGCGGCTTCTCGCGTCTTTGAGTTCCCGCGTGCCTCTTGCGGGAGTCTCTTCGTCCCAGTTAGGCTGCGTTCGGAAACTTCATCCGGATGCACCCGGATGCACCTCGCGCCGTTCGGAAACCTTCGGGTTACACCCAAGTGACAATGGTGGAGTCGTTCGGAAACTCTATTGAATGCACCTGGAGTGAGAGATTCTTCATCCTGAAATTTCAGGGTGGATTCGGATAACTTGTTGCACTTTGCGGGATTTTTAAATAATATTTTCGACTTGTGTTGACTTGTTCCTTAATTTCATAGTAGCTTCAATTACCAACTCTTATCCAAGCTTCAACAACATTTGCCTTCTCAATCATTCAATCTGCTTCGTTATCGCTAGTGTTTGAATATAAACTATCCAAAATTGTTTTAATTAATTATAATTTAGCTGTCGCGACACGAAAATACTTTTATTTGCCATTAAGTTTGTTTTTTATTGCTGAATTAGCGTGCACTAGCTTGCACTAGTTTTTCTCTCGTCTTTTCTCCGTCCAGTCTTTAGGAGAGATCGGGACTAGATGCTCCGTATTTCAGAATTTCAAAGTTACAACTTCTCAGACATATAATTATTATGATTGACTGTACAAACATGGTAGAGGCAGTCTTCTTCTAGTGGTAATACCTGCCATGACCGTATATTTTGTTTCTTAATAACCAAAATACAAGTATGTATTAACATGGCTATCTTGCTCTACCGGATTCAGTTGCCTAGTATAAGGCAGGGTTATGCAGAAAGCCGCATATAAAATATGTATTCTGATTAGTAGTTCCGTAGTGTTTACGAGAGGGCTCTACAGTCTTGCTACTGGTCCTTAATTATAAGTCAACTTTACTTCGTCCGCTCATATGCTCGATTACAGTCATTTTATGAAAGTAAATTGCTTTTATTATTCACAACAGAATATATCATACACCTGCAAGAAACTTCATTCTAGCTGGTAACACGTTGCTTAACTTTGTTCACTCACGGTAGAGAATATTAATATAAAATTTCGAAAGGTTCAAAAACTTAGTATACTACTACTAAGTTTTCTGTTTTTAACTGTAATATTATATTGATTTTAATAAAATTCGAGGAAATGTATTTATGTTCTCCAAAAGAAACATTTCGCGATTTTGTATCCATTGTTTCTCTTAAGATAAATATTGCAATACAGCACATGCGCAACATACCTCTGGGGCCATTTAGACTTGGTCTCTCCTATATCTGTTTCTTTTTAAGCTTCGTCAGTATACACTAGTTCAATGATAAAGAAAAGCAGACCTATTGTTTGCCATTTTCTCTATCTGCTGTTCAGAAACTATTCGCACCCGAGTTGCACTCTGCTCCCACCGCCATTCACCCGGCTGTACCCGCAGGATGGAGTTTCCGAACTTAGCCTTACCGATGCAACTTATTCTAATTTACTTTGATTCTCCCTGAATTATTCTACTTGTACAACGTTTACGCTTTCGCTGGTACATCCCGACTGCACACCGTCTTCAGAAATGCTTCGGAAAGTAATAGCGCGTGGGTTCTCCCTGTGTGTGAGATTTCTGTGCAAATTGCGACGAGCTGAAAATAGAAAGGATATTCCCGCCTTTTCTTGGTCGTCCGACTCCGTAGTGTTCTGTGACCGCGGCGGGTATATACCGTGAAGCGGAAGAACGTATAATCCGGAATTTCGCCGCAAAGGCGTAGCACGACGGGAACGCTGTGAGCGTGGCGGAGGCACACAGGAAGGGGAATTTTCCGATCGCCATTTCTCACGAGGGAGACGTATCGCGACTTGCAATTTATTCGCGGCGCAAATAGAATCGGGCGCGGTAATGAAATTAGTATCGGCAACCCGCGAGATTATAAATGCGACTGGCGCGCGTCTCGCTTGACGAAATATTTCACGATTAGACGAAGGCACACCGCCGGGATATTGATGGGCTGCCGATCGCGCGCGGGCTACATCGAACTGTAATTATCGCCGTTACTGGTGCACGAGACGAGTCTCGTTACACACGTAGCGTCCACACGGTGAAAACAAAGGCAAATGTTTGAATTACATCCCGTTCGTGCGATTTTGTGCGACTCGTGCTCTGGGTGCTCCATTATTTAAGCTCCCTGCAAGCGCGGAAACGCGAGACAGCGAATATCATACTTTCGATATAATAATATCGGCCACTGTGCCGCTGTAATCACCTGTTTTCGCTCTTCGTCACGACCCAGCGCGATGGCAAACAATTAATTCGCCGTTATAGTATCGTCCGTAGCAATCGCCCAGAAAACACAGCGCGGTGCATTTTCAATGAGATATAAAATTACCGCGAAATTTTCTGTGTGCCGTGATCAACGACTTGTCCGGAGAGGGTAACGAACCTGAGGATTCGCGCAAATTCGAGAGATAAATCTAACTATGCTCACGAATAATTCAGACCGCTTATACCATTCAAATTCATTTATTGATTTTCCATTTATACTGGTTTATTATTTCTGTCCCTTGACGATGTTTCATATTGAATACAGCGCTTTCCGTGTCCGTGGATCTTCCATTAATATGATTGCACCGAAGAGAACATTGAAAGAGCGAAGAAAGATCCATAAGGAAAACTTCCTAGTATTTCAAGAAAATTTATATACATACATATATACATATATATATATATATATATATATATATATATATATATATATATATATATATATACTCATATATGGAAGACACATCAAAAGCTCCTTCGTTGAAAACTATCCTGTTTCTCTAAGAGATATTAAAACATGATTTCTAAATTTAACATCGCGGGGGAAACGTAACAGATAATAGAAAACACGAAGTACACATGAACAAATGTTCAATTAATTTCAATACATTAGGGTTTGTTAGGCGATCAACCATTTTGGGAAGGTAGACTTTCGTTTGTAAATTATTGAGTGGACATGCATAATGCCGAAATTTGAGAAATTTGAGAAAGTAACTTCCCGAAAAGTCACAATTCCGAAAACTGAATACACAGGGACAATGCTTCGAAACATTGAAAGTATGAAGTTGTCAATAACTTACCGTGCAACTTCGTGGGACAACTTCATGCTTTCCATATTTCAGAAGATTGTCCCTCTGTACTAAGTTCTCGGGATTGTGATTTTTTGAGACGTTCTTCCACTTTTAGAATTTCGATACTTTTTTTCAGGATTGTACGCCAATTATTTCGAGAAATGTTTCATCAACTCCATCAGATTTCTCTACAATTTCTGATACTTAAATGCTGAAATTTCGCTTTCAAGCAATACAGTTGTTCCGAATCTCATATTTTTTATACATTTTCATTCCATCTCGTGAAATTATTAGATTCGTATCTGCCAAATAGCATCGTCTCGATGGAGTATCGTCGTTTCGCGTTAGTTGACACAATTTCCGTCGTGATATCGTTGTCGCGAATGGACTTGAACGTTACGCAACCCCGGCAGATAATTCATCGACATTTTTCGACTCTGTGTGCGTTGAATCTTTCTCATACTACTATTTCACGCAGACGACTTGTGTTGCTTTAAACAACGCTACATTCGAGTGTATGCATAAATATCCGCATAATACACATTGGATTTAGTGCGGATTTTAATAATTGCGTATTATTTTGTTAATTTAATAAATTAATCATGGAATGCTAATTAATTATACGACGCAAATGCGCGGAATTTGCGTGGCGTCTCTCGTCGTTAAATAGCAATTATTTATTTTACATGTACGACGTGCGCTCGTCTTTCTTCTTTTACCGTGATTTATTAAATATGAATTGTCGCGCGGAGAAAAAAGAGACAGGAAGGAAATATCGAATTATTTGACTAACCGTTTCACAGCGTATCAAATAATCGTGTTTCGCTAAAATTAACCGTTAACCAAATATATGTTTCGTCGTGAATCATAAATCGCCCAAAGTGGATTTAAACGCGATTTAAACCAGCTTTTCCGATTTTGTCTGCATTTACTTTTATTACTCATTGCGACTCGTTGAATCGAATTTAAAGAATCAAAGAAACCAAGCGCAACATCGTTATATCGCCAATGCTTTTTAACCATAAACGTTGTAGTCCATTAAATTTAATTTCCTCGCTCAGGCGTATCAATTTTGCCGAACAAACAATTATTAATAATTAATATCGCATCAGATCTCTCGTATGCTTTTTGCGAAATTAGATTTTTACCGGCCAGTGTGATAATTTTATTGGGTTTATTTCTAAATACGAGCTAGAGAACGTCGGGAAATAATGTAACGCAAACAGTAAATTGTTTAAATGCTGTTCAATTTTGTCAAAAGCGAATTCATGGCTAAAAGGGGATCAAATTAATGATCGTTTACAACGGCCACATCTAATGTTCCGCTGTGTTGCTTCGGCAATTATTTGGTAGACATGCATAATTTCAAAGAATTGAAGTTCCGAGATTTTGAAAGCACGCCATTATCCCGAAAAGTCACAACCTTGAAAACTGAGTATAGTATATATAAAAAATATAAGATTTGTAGCATTGTATTTTTTGAAAGTGAAATTTCACCGTAATGTTTAAGAATCAGAAATTACAGAGAAAACGTAAAGAGAACCAAAACAAATCCGATGCAGTTGTTAAAAAATTGCTTGAAATAATTGATGGATATGCATAATACATAAGAAAAAGTACCAAAATTTTGAAAAAGTGGGAGATTTTTCCGAAAAATTACAATTCCGAAAATTCAATGTTTTAAGTCATTTTCACGTTTATTGCAAACAGTGATTTGCTTGACCTCAAGAGACTTAGATCTCATTATTTTTCGGCGAAACACCTTTATTTGAAAAATTTGTTCGATTCTCCATAATGTGGTTTCTTGGTTCCAATTCTTGAAGTATCTTTTTGATTGTTCACGTCATTCTGCGGCGGCGGATAAGCTTAGACTAAATCTAATATTCAGAGTCGAAATTGACCCAACAAAAAAATTATCGATATAGCTTTTGGGGACAACAAAAATGTTTTATCGCTTCTTGAATCTTTTGTTAAAAAGAATAATATGTGTCTGAGGCCATTCCTTTGATCACTGTGAGAGTCTTCCGCTCTATATATGGCTCTTTCATTGCCGTAACGAATAGCCAATGGATTAAGAGACTCAGGTCAATTCAACAAGAAGAAGAAGACAATTCCGAAAACTCAGTACACGGATAGTCTGCTGATTGCAAATATTGAAAGCATGAAGTTGTGTCCCACAAAGTTGTGTTAACAACTTGATTATTTCAATATTTTGGGAGATTGTTCCTGCACTCAGTTTTCGGGGTTGTGACTTTTCCAGACAATGGTATACTTTCAGTGTCCTGAAAATTATACTTCGCTATATCGTTGTCTCGATATATAGCTTTCGGGATTGTGACTTTTTGAGACGTTGTCGTCCCACTCTTAGAATTTTGGTACTTTTTCGGATTACACATGTCCACCAATTTTATTTAGCACACCGAACGGCTATAATATAATCGTTGGAGCGGCGCGCTCGACTTTGTTGTTTGCACCTCCGTCCATTGCATAACTAACGAAGTTCGCGATTTTCCTTCTTGCAATTCGCTGTGAATACTATATGTATGTATGTGTATATGTGTATGTGTGTGTATATATATATATATATATATATATATATATATATATATATATATATATATCAGAGTTTCTAACGATACTTACAAAGAACAGAGCGCCGCCGACTCTAATCCGCGATTTCGACCGGCATGCTCGAGTGTGCACATGAACTCGACGTTAATTATTTATTAAGCGTGCCCTCTTAGCCCCTATTATCCGATCTCTCCGTCGTCTCCGCTGCAGTCGGCTGGATTGCCGGCCATTTAACGAAATTAAACGAAAAGGAGGTTAGTCGACGAGAGGGAAGAAGGGGAAGAGGAATGCTCGTGACCGGCGGCGATGCAACGTCAACGAACGTGGTTTTTGCCGGCGCGCCGTATCGAATCTAGTTCAGTCACGTGGCAGGACAATTTATCCGGATGAGTCAAACCCTGCCCGCCGCCGCGTACCTCTCTCTTGTGCCTCGCCTTCGTCTCACTCGCCCTCGCCATCTTACCTAGGAATAGCTCGTTGAAGTCGCCCTGGCCGCCGATGAAGACCCCGTACTGTATGTTCAGCTCGAAGTAGCGACCCGGTAGGTGAGATCTCTCTATGTGTATCACGTCGATCTGCAGGGTGACGTTGGCCTCGCGTCTCGTCAAATTGACCTCGTGCCAACTGAGGTCGTTCAGTGTCAATCCGCGAGCGCTCGCCATCTCGTTCTCGCCCGCGCCCAGATTAATGTGAACCTGCGGCAAAAAGCGCAGAAGCGGCGCTCGTAAAAGTCAGTCTCATTTTTGCCGGAGTTGTGGACGTGCCGCCACCGCAAATGGGTTTTATACGTACATGCGCGCGGGGTACAAATGCATTTTTGTTTTTTTTTTCTTAAGGGCTGCGTTTCTCCCTCTTTTTCTTTTCTCCCTTGTTCTCTTCTTTTCGCTTTCTTTTCTTTCCCCCCATTTTCTCTTTTTTTCCGAGACCGGTCGTTCTTCCTTGAAATAGAGCTTCGGTTTCCGGCCGTAGACCTCTATACTTTACATTCTTTCGCATTGGCGTTGTGCGACGCGTTAGAAAAAAATGTTATGGAAACGCGTAAAGAGTTTTTACTGGTGAACAGTGGAAGGGAAACACGCGCACACATTTTTACAGGATTTAATGTATATCACTGGGCGAGATAACCGACGAGACTGTGCACGAAAACCGCAGGAAACGTATCGTTGTAACGTTGTAAGGTAGTCGCTTCTTTTCGTGGTCTCGATGTGGTGTGGTTAAGAAAGTTTTACCCTTGCCGTGAAATAATTATATCGCGAGTCTTGCAGGGGAAAATAATCCAAAATTCAACGTAGATAAAAGCCAATAAGGCCCACGCAAGATATCGATTGCGAAACATACTGTATCTACTGTATAAATGAATCAAGCATTGGAACATTGAACATCTTGGAAAATCAAGCGTTTTATCTTCATGTCATTCATGAGGATAATAGTTACTAGATACTTTGGTGAAATAGTTTAAACCAAACACTTAGGTGAATATAATCAAATTATTTGATAAGTATTAACAAATAACTTTAGAAAAGCTTGGTATCTATTGTCAAACCTTGATAACTGTTGTTGAGATTAATGACTATTACACTGAGGAAAGAAATACTTCAAAATTTATTTGTGATATATAAAGTTTATTCATAGAAATAAACTTTATTTCACAGAAATAACTTCATATCCTACAAATAAATTTTCAAGTATTTTTTCTCAGTGTACTAATTTATGTGAATGTAGCACCAGACAATTTGTTAAATAAAGTCATATTGTGTTTTTGATACTTATTACATTATGTAATAAATATATGAGATGCTACTTTGCTTATAGTCAAATTATTTATTATTTGGAATATTGGTAATTTATTACTGCTATTTATTATTTCCAAAATTAGGATAATTATTATTAGTAATTATTAATAAATTATTTAGTATCATCTAAAGTTTTAATGTTTAATTTGTTCAATTTGTTTCAATTTGTTTAATTTGTTCAATGAAAAATGTAATTTTACAAATTATTTTGTAAATTATTATCAGACGATTGATAATTATTGCCATATTTGATATTAATCAAATGTTATATTGAAATACCCAACCAAATGCATTTGTTAACTATTTAAGCCTTATTAAGTCTTTTTTCAGTATGCATTTGTACACGTAGAAAAATTGTAATAACGCAAAGTTTGTTTTTAATGAGTGAACCAATTGTGTTTTAATTGAAGAACATAGATTTTTATTGCACAAATTTGGTTTTAAGAACAATAAATTCTATGTTCTTTAATTAAAACATGTTGATGCGTTCATTAAAAACAAACTTTATTTGAATTTTTTCTCCGTGTAATAAGTCCATATGTATAAGTCCAGTAATATTATAATATTTGTGTATTATTTCTCCTTTCCATTTCCGCTGAATGAGGACCGAAACGTTTGATTGATTTTTCGAGGGATTCGATGCTCCCATTCTTGATTCATTTATAGATGCACTGAAAAAAATATTTGACATTTTATTTGCAGGACATAAAGTTTATTTTCACGGAAACATACTTTATTTCACAGAAATAAACTTTATATCCTACAAATAAATTTTCAAATACTTGTTCTCAGTCTGCGTGGGCTCTTAGAGGCTCTTTGGATTTATGTTGAATTGTGTATTTGTGTGTTTAAGAGCCTGACAATTCGTTTAGTAATCCAAAATTGGATAAAAGAGGAATAGAAGATCGTGTGTCGGCGAGGGTGGAGGCATTTTTAGAATTGAGACAATCGTTTCGAAATAAGGACGTGTCGTCGTTCTCGATTCTCAGTGCCGTCACGAAGAGATGTTTTGACACGAAAATTTAATTTTATCCCGACGGTAGGTCGACAGTAGTCGCGGGAACTTCGACATTTCGATGGAAGTATTCGATTTTTCGTTCCCAGACGTGCATCGAGAAACAGATATAGAACCGCAAAAAAGGCTAGGTCGCAGAGGTAGTATCAACCTCGGTGCACAAGGTTTGCCTAGCGCCAGTCATGCCCCGCAAATTCTCCGACAGCGTGAGCTGACAGGAATCCGACAGCTCGAGGTTTCGTGTATTCCGTCTGCACTTGAGGCACTCGCACAATGAGTTTGCACGCCGAGAGAATGAAGGAGGCGGACAGCTAGACAGACAGCGAAAACGGCTTTCAGTCTCCTGCACGGAAAATAAATGTCGAACTCTGCCGATAACTTGGTCGTCTCCGCGTTCGGCAGGTTCTCTTCTTGATGGAAAGAACGCGACGAGGATGGCCGGTGAAGTTTAACGTCATCTTAGGGTGACCTGCTCATTCGTGGCGTTACAGGCGCTTGTTATACGTGCTTGTTGTACGTGTATCGTTCAGAAAGTGCATGGCCTAACACAAAAATGGTGCAAGAATTTGACTAAATCTTTATTACCAGATTTCAGAGCCGTCCTTTATTAGTTTAAATATGATAGAATGATCTATACTAATTGATTAGTCTTTATTTGATAGGGCGCCAAAGTGAGCGCCTCAAGTGTCTCTGTGCGTTCCTTTGTTTTGGCTGTTTCCTTGTTTCTGGAATAAAGTGGTAAAGCTATATTTCCCCACTAGTTATAACTCGACGCTAAAAATTCTATCATGGCAAAATCGTGCCAAATAGTATGAGAAACAATGGAACTATTCAGTTTAGTCTGTGACCAAAATCCATCACTTGCAGAGTCCATTTTGACTGTCAAACAAAAACTAATCGATAGATCACTCTATATTGTCTACTTAATCTAACAAAGGATAGCTCTGAAATATAGTAATAAATATTTGGCCAAATTCGCGCTATCTCTATATTAGGTCACGTAGAAGAGATCGGATCAAGTTGGCCCAAGGCTCATGTTAGTTATGTATTTCGTTTATGTATTTATTGCGAGAGCGACAATGGCAAGGGGATCGCAAAATGTTCTTTTTAGGACACAGGAAAAGTACATATGTCCTAAAAGGAATATTTTGTGATGCCTTTTTCATTACTACTTTCACAATAAATAGATAAAACAAATGTATGGCCAACATGACCCTTGAACCGACTTGACATGGTCTTCTTTACTTTTTGAATGATCCATGTGTGCACGTGACGTGCGTAAACGCCACGCACACACAGCGAATCGTATCGTTATTCCCTCAAAACGTCGCATCGCGCAGCAGCGGTTACTGCAGTTACTTTGTAATCGCGCCGCCGGGGATTCCTAGTTACGCGTGCCGGATTTACGATACACCCACCGGGGAATAAATTCCAAACTCCCCGCGCATATTTAGATCCGCGGAAGTCACCTAAATCAACCGCGTGTCGCTCGCCATTGTAAATGTTTAACCGATTAACACGCATTGTGCAGCGCGTTTGTTTGCAAATTCTTAACATCCCGGATGGGCATTGTCTAGTCGCGAGACATTATCGCGAAAATTGTCATGCGATTGCCGACGGCCAGCCGTGCCAGATTCGCTTCATTTGACATACCTAAAAGTATCAATCGACTCAAATCTCGGAGAACGGAATAGAGTAAGACTCAATTATTGAGATCTCCTTTAATGATTGACATTGCAGAATAAAAATATAAACCACTTTTGAAAACCTCAAAAGCTTTAATAAAAATATGAAATAATTTTGATTATTCCTATATGGAAAGACAGTATGATTAACATATAAATTTGATTATGTCAACCAGATTCAATGGTAAAATATAGAACAACTAATTATGTGGTTGCTACAGTCACAGAGCAATTATTGAATTATAGTGTCAACATTTAATTGTTCCAACCAAAGTATATTTATGGTAAATGTCATCTTAACAGATTTTTGGTTGCCACAACCAAATCACGCGTAATTACATTCATATAGATGATGTACCAAAGTAACTAAGTCACATTAATCATGTGTACACCATTACCATTACAAAAAGACTAGACTAAAAACTAGACTAATGCAACTATGCTGCATACAACTAAATATTTCTGGTTATGTGTATCATATATTTTTTTTCACGTATGTATCTATAACTCTATTCTAATATTCTAATAGTATTAGAAATCGTATTAGAAAAAATAGATTGGGTTACTATAATCATACGTATTTTTATTATTTATCTCCCTACAATTGCATAGTTAGTTACTTGCTTAATTTGTCTTTTTCGCGTAGCGACTACTAAAATATATTTCTAATATTCCTTAGAATATTAAGATTGTAAGTACATAGGAATTTTTATTCAAAATTATTTCATACTTTATGAGGCTTTTAAGATTTTAGTAGTTGGCTTATTTCTTTTAAGTTTTTTTTATTCCGTACTTTTAAATTATTTACTAAAAGTTTTTGAAATTGACTAAAAGTAAAAGTTTTGTCTTGTATCTCTAGATGTCCTAGAATTTTCAAGAAAATACCCAACGGAATTATCCAATTTCAAGTCACCTAAACAAACTCAGGTAATGACACTAACCTAAGAACTATACAGATAACGTACCGAACAAAAAAGTTTGTCTCTGACAATTCTCGAGTTTCGACGAAACGTACAAACATGCATATAAGACAAACTAAAAACCTCCTTTTTTGAAATCTGTCATAAAAATCTGGTTTTCCCTGCGACTAACTTGACTGTTTACAGTCTTTGCCGTGAAGTTCTCTCTTTTGGAATCATACAGTACAGGCAAGAAATTTAATTTGCAATGTTGGTCGCAAGAAAAACCAGGTTTTTTCCAAG